CTTCCAACACCGTTTGGTTTTTAACTGCCACCCGACACACAGTATGGCCACACCTCATTTAACGGCTTAACTGTTTAACGGCCCCGGATTTATAACCAGTTATAAAATTTCATAAAATATATATTTTGTTGAATCGACCAGTTTGGTTTTTTATTGTACGAAAATGTTGATCGTGATTGTTTGCTTCTTCAATTTTTTTTTTCTCAAAGTGAAAATAAATAAATATAAAGTTGATTTTCAAACTGGTTTATTACATTTACTATTTACTGTTTGTATTCTTATTTTACTGCTGAAATATTTTACCTTTTTTGTTGCTTTTCTTTCTTTCATTACGTTCTTTTTTTCAGATTCTACTGATCCTTGATGGATTTTTTCTGATTTTTGTTCATCTTCTACATTTTTGATTCTATTACATTCGTCAAGGAGAATACGAAAAGCGTAGGAATAAATAAAAGAGGAATATTAAAAAGTTGAATAATCTAACTCCATTAATTAGAAACATATCAATCCTTTTAAATGAAAATTGAATTCTAATCAACATCAATGAATAATGGGTTCCCTGGGGTTGCAGGCACGCAAATTGTAAATACTTAGAATATATCGCATTTGCTGCTACCCGCGCCGATAAACCGGCTCACATACTCGCATATTCTAACGCACACATGCGCATATTGTTATTATTATTATTATTAGTAGTAGTAGTAGTAGAAGTAGTAGTAGTATTTCTTATCTATGATTATTGTTTCCAAATACCTTTTTCTTGTCTTTGTGTTAATCTCGGTTTTCGTGCTGTTCCCATTATTTCAACAATTAAAATGTGTATATTAAGTAAAGAAAGCATCATTTGAAAACACGAATTGAACACACGAACTGGGAAACAAAATAGAAAGAAACAAACATTCAAATAAAATTAATCAATACGAAGCCACGCAAAAAAAAGAAGAAATCGTTGCAAATTTCATTTATATTCTATAGACAATTTACATTCCAGGATTAAATTCACTTTATCTTGATTTGGTTTTCGTTTGTCTTTTTAGAAATTGTTTTGGTTAAATAATTTCCAATGTCCTTGAAATCCGTGAAACCACCACTATTTTCTTATAGAAATTAACGTTTAATATCTGTTCATGTGTTAGTAATTTTCATGTTATCCAGTGAACATTATGAATTGTACATATGCTGAACTATGCATGTAGCGAGCAGTCATTCCGTCATATGTATGTACGATACTGAATTACGTATTATTTTCAGAATTGTTAAGCATACGGTATATACTTTGGAAAAGCCACAATAAATCAACTGAAACGTGATAAAAACAACAATGTCTGCGATGCTTGCCCAAAACAATTTTTGTGTTTTCTGGTCGGTCAAGCTAATTATATAAAGAAAGCATTCAAATTTGATACTTGGTAAGGGCTTGTGAGAGTAGTATATTAATATTATACCAGAAAGAAATGTAAAATTTTCACGGTTTTCCAAATTCTTAAGTTAATGATTGAATAAGCTCATGGGGAGATCTATGACAATAAAATATCCGTAGGTATTCCCTGTCATATCGTTAAATAGTTGAGTTTAACAACATTAACAAAATATTGCAATAACAGAGATATGAGTACTGGTCGTTATTTTAAAATGTGGATACAAATCAAAATGTTTGAAATTGACAACTTTTTCCATTTCACTGAAACAGCCGTTAAACACTTCTATCTTTCTTTCTTTCTTTCTTTCTTTCATTCATTCGTTTTCTCACTGAAACCAAGTAGCGTATATCTTGTCTTTCTACGCAGTCAAATCGGAATAGTCCATTATTATGAATTATTGGAAGGAGATGTTAAACACTATCTTTGTTTGTTTGTTTGTTTGTTTGTTTCTTTTCTTTCTTTCTTTCTTTCTTCCTTCCTTCCTTCCTTCCTTCCTTTCTTTCTTTCTTTCTTTCTTTCTTTGCAAATCCCCGTCTTACGAACATTTCTCCGAATAATAATGTAAAAATAATTCAGCAGGCGATATTATCCTGGTAACTAGATTTTTGGCAAGTGTCGTCCAATACTCGTTTCTCAGCCTTTTAGTTGCAATCAAAATGTCGTATCTGTCCTCGGATGGATGAACTGCTTTTCATCTCTCAGTATTTTTCTTTGTCTGCCAGCAGAGCGCAACTGAAAATATTATTGAGAGGTGTCCGGTGTCGGGAAACACCTGCCCGCAGCAGTACCCCACTCACTGAATTAAAGAGGGTGGAATGGTAGTAATAACGATACCAGCACAACCGACTGTTGCGGGGGCTGGGTTCTTCTTGAACCTGGTTCTAATGTACACGCTTGAGCTCTCCGCATTAAACTGACCTTGTGTCACATCCTGTTAGTGAAAATACTGATTGGCTATGATCAAAGTGTAATATCTGTTCTTATCAACGTAATCTGATTCTCTCTCTCCCCCTCTCTCTCTCCACTTCTATATTTCCTTCTTTCTTTCTTTTTCTAATTGTCGTTTCCCCCTTCTTTTCACTTGATCAAAACAGAATAGTCCATTATTTATAAGGTATTAGCAGGACATAATGTTTGTGTGAAATAACGAAGTGCAGGACAAGCGCACAATTACAATAGGATTAAACAGAAAAAATATAGACACATTGGAACATAACTGATCAGAAGTAGCTTTTTTGACCATATCCAGAAATATAAGCAAAATATTATATATATACTAATGAACACACGCGCACACACATATTTGTGCATCAATGTGTATGTGTGTAATTTTGTCTATTTCTGGCTACTTGTGCATTCTGTAAATCAGGCATGCGCGAGTGGGGAATTTTAGTGATGTCATCGTTGAAATATGGCAAGAGAAGTAAACGCAAGTCAGCATAAGAAGACATAGGCAATGAGGAAAGTTGACGTTCTTTGCAGAGGATTCCCGTGAGGATGCTACAAACGGGAAACAGATTCGATAAACGTGGAATGGCGCAGAAGGCAACTCGAAGAAACACGGTAAAAAAAAAAAAATTAAAAAAAAAAGAAAGAAAACTATCGCAAAGGAAAAATAAAATTTACGCTAAATATTGGCACGAGAAATACAAAGTACGAAAGAAAAGTTTAGTCCCAAACTGTTTAAAAAATCAAACACACACACACACACATACATACACTCACATATATATTTGTTTTATCTCAAAATTATTTATATTTAAGCATAATCTCTTTTTTTATCAATGCACCTAACACACACACACGCACGCATATGAGTATATTTATCACTTTAAACGTTATTTTCAGTAGATGCTCCGTTTATTTATTAAACAATATATTTATTTTCGACTACCGACCTAAATATTCAAGAAATCTAATTAAAGAAAAATATATGTTTTTCGGTAATATTCCAACCTGCGTTCCCTGGTCAGAGGGAAACCGTCTTTAGATCCCACGTACCTTAACCGATCAAGTCTGAACAGTCCTTTTAAGCGAAATCCTTCTCTTGACAGGCGCACATAAAATGACTCGGAAAGTGACGATTTGTTCTTGTTCTTGTACATACATAATAACCAGCTACCCTCGTTTTCTGAGCACGCCCGTCTGCTAACGAGGCTCACCAATCACTATCGCAGACCCCTGCACCGGCAGGTTTTGTTTATTCAACACCCACAGAGCCCACATGTATACTACAACTCTGCTGAGTGGATCTTTGTTACTGTGTATGGGAGAGAGAGAGAGAGAGAGAGAGAGAGAGAGAGGGTATATAATAGTTTGAACAACACCAGTACGCTGAAACCCTCGGTCATGATGACTTGTGATTTCGTGTTAGCACAACTATTAGAGAATCTGTCGTCTACCAAATTTCACTCAGAAAGCTTGTGTCAACTCGTGGTATAGTTTTCAGACACTTTTCAATAACTGAGAATTCTAAACTGTCTTTACTCTCTGAATTATAACACCTTTAATCGATTGAACGATATGGTTGTCTCTTGGTCTATTAATGGCTTTACACTCCACTAAGTTTTGTTTAATAAGAAATTATGACAGGTCTATCAGAATTATCCGACTCGGTTGACCACCGGAAAACTTAAGAAATATGATTACCTTCGAAAACCTCACAATCGCGGATGTTTACTCAGACTGAAACCCCAGAACGAAACTTGAAATATTAAATTATATATTGAATTCAAACCTTTCCTTGAGTGACGCTTTTAATGATATCTGAAGTTGCATAAAGGAAGGCAATTATAACATGAATTATTCAAACGCGTATTCTCATCTGAGTTGCGGCTATTACATTTCGACATTATAATATGCGATATTAGTAAATATTTAAAACCCTGTGATTATATATCATCAGTACTTCATCTTAGTATTTGCTCGACCGATCATTTCTCCTACCTTTTTCAGGTGTATGCTGTATCGGATTATATTTTAATGTTTTATAATTGATTATTAATAGTATCAGTATTGATAATTTTCCACATATTATTCATAAACATTGCTCCTAACCGAAATAGTTACTTGTTTCCCTCTGATACTAGAAGTTGGAATTTGTGCCTAGGAAAAAGCCAAGCAAATAACAATGAAAGCAAGCATTTATTTTATCTCGTTTGACCCAAGCTTATTAAAATGGCAAGAATATATTCTAAATGTTTCGAAGTATGGAAGACCTTAACCAGCAACGTGCTACACAGAAGGCTTCAATGATGTTAATTTTCTTAAAGATTTTAGCATTTTAAGCACATATAAACTTTATATCGATAATCTGCGTGCTGACGCTTATCATGGAATTTTACACATTAAATCTCTCACTCGCATACACATGCGTGCACGTGTATGTGTATATATTCTATTATAAAAGTACAAAATATCAAAGGCTATAATTAGGTACAGGGAGGCAGGCTGTAAATGAAACTAGGTCGTTAAGGAAAAACAGACAGAAAAGGGATGAAAAAAAAACGGAAACAAAATGTCTGACAGAAAAACAATATACAAATGAGGAAAAAATATGAAACTAAGGAAATATAACTATCAGAAAAAAGACAGTAAATCATAGATAGATAGATAGATTAGATAGATAGATAGATAGATAGATAGATAGATAGATAGATAGATAGATAGATAGATAGATAGATAGTGGTCGATACATACATACATAGAAACAGAATGGGGTATATAGATAGATAAATAGATAGTCGACACATACATAAAAACAAAATGTGATAGATAAATAAATGATGGCCGACTAATATATACTAAATACATGTATTCATCATGCATAGATACATAGATATAAGATAGATAGATAGATAGATAGATAGATAGATAGATAGATAAGTGTACAAATTCAAATATGAACAAGACTAAATAGAAATATTGTATGGTAGATAGAAATAAAGAATCTTGCGAATTGATGCAAATGTAAATAAAAATAGAAAAACTGAATAGGATATAAAACTATGTGCCGTTAGGAACGCTATTAAAATGAACAAATAAAATAATGTAAATCTTTTCCCTGGGGTTTCTCACGAACACTCGAAGGAAATGACACTTTGGGGAGATTTTTTTCACTTTGAGTACGTGTGTAATCCTTGTTTTCATTGTTATTTTCTGTCTTCACATTCGAAAGTTTTGCGAGGTAAGAAATAAAAAAAATGTAAGGCGTATGTCGTCGCATGCGCACGCGCGCAGCAACGAATACGTGCACACAAGTTCAAGATATTTGGAAACGCGCACGTTCATTCATGCAGTTATTACCGTTTCATTCATGCTTTAGTTACATCAGGGATTGGCTTGTCTATAGTGATTTCGATGGTGACTTCAATGAACAAACATGTATCTACTTAGATACCAAAATTTCATAAACAAGAAAATAATATAATCGACACGCATTTATTCGTTTATCAAACGAGTAAACGCGCGAGTGTACGTGTGAAAGGGCAATATCTCATTTCGTTATTGCATTGTTATAATAATCATCTTATGTTTATATTATTTAAAATTTAATTAACTCACCCAAGTGTTAATGGAAATCATTAACGTTTAACTTAATTTTTCTTATATTTAAATAAAATAGTTTAATTTACACATATCCTCATTGTTTATTAGCTATTACTTTAAGAAAAATGAAAAAAAAAAAACTTTATTCCTTTGCCCCCCAAAACTTTGAAAACAGTAAATAATAAACGCTAGGTTTAATTATCTTAGATTAAAACTATTTTTCAGATTTAAATGAGACATTTCTTATTAACGAATGAAGATTTATTTTCAAAATGTTTGGCCATCAGAAAATTGACAATTTCAATCGGGTCTTTATATGTCTCGCATGATACACGCTAAGTCATACTTTTTAGATATTCACTCAATTATTCCATCTATATTTCTGAATAGTCTTTGTTGCTTTTACCCCGATGTTTTGATTTCTACAATCCCCGGGCTTCTTCAGGTAATTAGGTACGATTTTAGAATTTATTACTTTTCTTTCTTTTCTTTTTTTTAATTTCTTCTTCTTCTAGGCTATAACATTCGAAAACCTCATTCTATTTAGAAGGAATGTTTTACCTGAAATGAATGATAAATAATAAGGGAACTCAAAAGAACAGATTTAACAGATATCTAAAAGTACAGCCGAGTGTATTTCCCGAATTGCCATGTTTATTGCAATCGGAAAAAAATATATTCAGTTATGAAGACAATTTCAAGAATTCAACAAAAAATATACTCTTCATTTAGACAAGAAAATATCCTTTAATATTAATAATAAAGCGAAAAATATTCCATAATTTGAATAATCAGATTAAAGTTGAAACGTTTCACTTCGGCGAAAGCTAACTTCGATTTTGGTAAAAAAATATGTCAGATTTTAAATAAATCCATAAGATATATTTGTACTGGAAAACGTTTACATATTATGCATGCATTACAATTGAATATTAATGAAATAAATGATACTAAGTTGTATTGCTGTCTACATAAATGTAAGTTGTCTTTTGAATAAAATAAAACCCAGTTTCACACGCATTTTAACGCCATCATATCAGTTTTCAGGCAGAGATAGATAAACGACGTACTACCCAAAATGTGGCGGACTATGACCATAGACTTGTTCTCACCGAATTTCCACTGTCTTTGAAGAAGTCTTTTTGAGCATGTATACAGCGATCCCAGCTGTTTTTTCCCGGATACCAAGCATTGCTAGAAGCCTTCACGTGTGACTGTGTCAAGTGCGTCCTAGATCTCCTCGGTCTTGTCTAAATGACGATCTTTCCGTCGGAATGTAATCTTGAGGAACAGGAAAAGTCGTGCGATCAGGCGATTAGGGACGAAAATATTTGTTGCGTTTTTTGGAAGCTAAAATTTCTTCAACAACTATTGATGTGCAGGCGGAAGTGGGGGGAGACCCACCATTAGCTTCTTCAAAAGTTTACAGCAATAACTACAGTTTACAAATCGGCCAGAGAGGCTGAATCCCTCATAGAAAATACAGTGGATAGACACACACACACACACACACACACGCACACACACACGCAGACAATTTCGAATAAAGTAATTTATTTTATACTAATATTTATTTTTAAATCGAGCATTCTTACTTGTAACGACGCGTAACCTAACTCCTTAAAATGAACCACAAAGATCAAACATTATACAATAAAAATGAGAGAGCAAAATTCACCAAATACGGTTTTATTTATGCACCCTCATTTATATATATCTCTATGTGTGTGTATGTGTATACCTAGGTATATATCTAGACACATAAACAAATGTGTGCGTGCGTGTATGTTGACTGTGCGTATAAATGACATGAAAACATTAATGAACAATATGTGCGGGAATCACTTGCAAGAAGTGCGGTCGCTTCTGTACAAGCTTTCGCAATTATAATCAAATAATATGTTCTGGTTGTTTTGTTAAAAAAAATCGCTGCTGCACAGTGATACCTCAAAAACTTTTTCTGGCTTCACACACACACACACACACACATATATATATATATATATATATATATATATATATATATATATATATATATATATATATATATATATAGATATACAGTGAAGGAATCTCCCATTGTTTATATAAGAGTGGACAGTGAGGTCAACACCAGTATCGACAGTCTGTTTCATACTGGAACACAATCTTCAGACCTGAAGACCTCTCCGTGTTGACCTCAGTGTTTAATCTTATATTTGCATTCGATCTCTCTCTGATATTGAGCACTTTTACCGATATCTATATTATACCTTAAAACTATCACACACACACACACACACACAAACACACACAAACACACACACACAGATATATATATATATATATATATATATATATATATATATATATATATATATATATATATATATATATATATATATAAATAAAAAGGTTTTTCCTTAGCGGATTGATGTTCCTTTCACCATCCAGACTCGAGAGTTTCGTAGATGGACCCTCCGGGAATTACTCCGTTCACTCGCCAGTGTTATCGGCATCTGGCTCTTATAATTCTCGATTTTTCTTTTTCATATGCACTTTTCATTGCTACAATCTTTTTTTTTTCCATAATGTATATGCGCGTGTGTGCATTCTCTCTGAATTATCATAACTATTTAGGAAAGATAGTGGAGTGGTTTTCCATTGTCATCTGCATAGTTTTGAATTTAGTTTGCCCTTCTTTTAAACTGGTTAAAGGCAAAGTCTAGTGATCCTATATTGTTCAACACCTAGTTGTGAGGTAGGTTAAGAAGAGCCATGCTTTCCCTAGCGAAAGTGAAGGCTACAATTTGAACTCAATTCCACTTTGCATACCGATAATTGTAACGTTACTGCACGCTCAATTTTAACACCACCTGCCAAAATTGTTACATCTCGGGCAAGGTACCAAATAAGCACTGAAAACTGAATGTCGTAATCTCGCAGCGCTAGTTCAGACTGCGGCAGTGCTATATTAAGGAAACAATATCTTCCCGAAGAAAAATAAAACGAGAGATTTATTGGATCAGTCTTCAAATGGTTTATGTAGATCCCTGTACAATAAAAACTAACTCTTCCCGCATCAGTCTCTATCGGCCTTGTCCAAACTTCTGGAGGAGCTGGGTTCAAAGTGTTGGAATCAGGAAATCTGGTGGCAGCTGGCGTGGATTTTAGAGGGACTCGAGTCGGGTTCTCAGACTAAAGTCTCCGAGCTCCCCAAAGTCATCTGATTATCCGCACTTCGGGTCAAAACTGATGTAGGGCCAAAAGGTTTGGGGAATTCGATGATTCGCCAAATTTCATTAAGTCCAGTAAAGATTTTCTTGTTCCTATTTCTGCTTTCATAATTTCTAAACTTCCTTGGGAGTAGTCACAGAGATTTCTCCTACATTAACCCCAAACGGGTTCTCTCCACATTTCGTACCGCTACTCTGGACAAGTGGGGCTAAATTTTGCCCTTTCCTCCTTCCTTCTCGGTATTCTAACTCTGCCCACTTCTTTTTGATAAATCTAATTTTTAAAGTGCGTAGAAGAAAGGACGTGGTTTATTCTCCTCATTAATTTTCAGTTCTCGGATTCCTTTCCTGAACCCACTTGTCCAGCACAAACCTGATCACCTGCTCATTTTAACCTTCCAAACGATAAATAAAAATTATTTCCCAATTTGTTTTCATCAATGAAAATATATTTGTTTGCCAAAATTCTCAAAAAAGAGACATAGTGTTTTCCATTCTTGCGCTGTCTTAGCGAAAATATAAACCAGATCACCTGACTGTTATGGCGGATCGATTTTCATAATCCTAACCCTCACAGCGGGTTCATTCTCTGTTTTCATTTCTCAGTTCGTTTTCGCTAACGAAAAAATGTAATTACCGTCTGCATCACTTTTCGCTAATGACATGTGTTTTTCTAATTTTCCAAGAGATAAGGCCATTTCCCAATTTGCTGCAACTGCACCCCAGATAGCCCACTGCCAGATTTCTTCAATTCTCCATTACCAGGGGAAATGTCTTCCATTCTCTGTATCTTCCAATTTATATTTCATTTTGAAAGTAATCCTTTTTCTTCTTAGAATTAATGTTTAACCACCTCTCACAGCTTCAGTGTCACACAATAAGTGCTATATCTATTCTCTTAAGCTGAATGCAAATAAAAAGACTGGGGATCTCATAATCATCCTTGCGAACCAAGTGACAAGAAGTTTTCTGATATTAGTACTCTTGATATCCCCATTACTTTTGTTGTTTTAATTGCTCAAAACTCATATTTTAATGCTTACAATTATATTGGCATGAAACTCTGCATCACGCGCTACAAACTTTTCAGTTGTTAAGCAACGTCTTTTCTATAATTTTGTTTTTGTATTGTTCGTTGAGTTTTTACA